ACTGAAGTTCGCTTTCAAAATTTTTATCGTTATGATTCCCATCATGCCTCATTAGCATGCGTCAAGCGTGACGGGATAGGCGGCAGCAGTAGTCAACAGCAGTGAACACACGGTGTACACACGGTCAGCGATTGCACGTTGATAGCAGCGATTGTTGCTTTATCTGAACATTTACCTATGGTAAGAGAAGGAAGGACCATATTGTAGCCTAGTCTATTTCAACCTTAATGATGGAAGCTAAAGCAAACGTTGTCTAAAATGCTAACATCATGAAAAATTTTTGGGACCCTCCCAAAGGGATTAATAAAGTAAATTCTATTCTATTTTCACCGCATGCAATGTACGAGAAGCCCTCCAGGGGCTAAGCCCCCCCTATCTGTCAACCCTAGTGACGTCCCTGGTTCTAACACAAAGCACAGAGGCTGCCATCTGCGGCGCCATCTTGGATCTTCAAGGCACTTGAAGGCACTTGGGACACCACTCGATAGAAATGAAACTCTGTAACCAATACTGGCAATTAAAGTGTCTGGAATTGGAATCAAATAAACACAACGAAAAAGTATTTTATAATCGTATAATATTATTTCTACCAAAACCAATTAGACCATGTTGATTTAGACCAATTAGGTGAAATTGAATCATTTCTCACGGCACACCAGACAATCTTTCATGACACATGGGTGGATGAAAAACAATGTTTTGGATTAATAACCAAATCAGTTCAGTTGTCTAAAAACACAAGCCCGAAAACTTGATGTTTGGAAGTTGTTTGTTCGTCTCCGTTCTTTTGTAGCTTTCACATTTATATTGCATCTTCTAATGGACCTTCAAAATGCGCGTCATTGAAGCTACTCTGCCCCCTAAAGGCTCCTAAGTGAAATAACATTAGCCCTCTCTTCTTATTTAATTTTTGATAGTGGAATTCTTCTCTCAGTCTGTCCTGGGTTGTCTTCGCGTCCTCCCAGCTGACTCAGGTTCTGCTTCAGGTACAGGAGTTCTGTCTCCAGGCTCAAGCAGCTTGTTCCTGCAGGATTTTGACTTGCACATATGGCATCAGTCTCTGGGGCCTGGCAGCACCTCAGTGTGTTCCAGTCATCTCAGACAGGCCATGGGAGAGTTGTGTTTTGCCTTACACCATAGGATCTTAAATTTGCCAAGTTAAAAAAATATATACGTAGAAAGGGCTTAACTTACACAAAAACAGGTTATGACGAATGCATACATGTATAAATCCCCTCAAAAACCTGAATGCAATACAAAGTTTACATTTTACAAACCAATCATCCTTATTCTATTTTAGGAACATTAAAGGAAATAATGATTTCCGCTAAAACTAAAAAATGTAAGTGAATTGATATAAAGATATTTGCACCAAAAGGTTTTTGTACTTGACATATACCATTCCCACAATCCTATAAAATAAACTATAATTTTTAACTACATTTTTAAACCAGACTTTTGGTTGTTTAGCAAGATTCTGTCGATTGAACAAAACACAAGCTCTTCTATATCACTTCATAACTTTTCTTCTGATACTGCGCCATGATTCTATAATTCCAACTTTGTCATTTTTGTCACAATTGTAGTTTCATTTAATTCAAAATGCTTTAAAAATAGCAGACAAATTAATAAAAATAGACCAACATTTAAAAGGTTATGTGTTTGTTCCTTTAAAACTAGATTTACAAATATTTAAAAGACCAAATATGTCAGTGCTCCTCGAACAATACATCTCAATCTGCTCAATTTTATGTATGAAACACAAAATTAATATCCTAAACATTTTTTATTGTTCTTTTATCATATTTTCTTCACTTTTTCTCTACTTTTCTTCTTTCAAGGGAACAGAAATAGCTTTTAGTGCATCAAACGAAAGCACAATTCTGTGACCAGAGAACAAATCCAAAAATTGTAGGTCATTTCCTGAACCTAAACTCTCTCTTGCTCTATTCCCTTCAAAACCTATTGTTAATTATTAAATATTGGCATGAGACAAAACATTTTTGAGCACTGTTTAATTTGAAAGTCAGATTCGCCAGCTTGGATGTTTGAGGTAATAAGTTTCCACAAGGTTTGAGCACTGTAAACTTGGGATTTAAAGTGTGTGAAAATAGAAAAAACACAATAATTACTATTAACAAAGCTAACTTTCAAGGATGGAACACATTTGATGAGTATTTCCTCTACAGATCAAATCCATGACCTGTACTGAACAAGAAAGTTTACTTTTTCTGAAAATATTGAATCTGGAAACTTCTACGCCACGACCGTCAAAAAATTGGGTTAACATAATTATTTTGTCTAACATTGATGTTTTTGGAGGTAATAATGACATAATAAAAGTACTTTGCTGACCGGTATATAGATATGGGGCATGAAATCTATAATAAAATGATGGTTTTTGCAAATTTAAATTCAATTATTTTAATGGGTCTCTGTGGTTGCACTGGTGCCTGTATTACCCCCGATTTTGGAATAGTTCCTGACATCCCTTCCTTTTCCTTTGCACAAGTGAGACACCCTTTTGCCTCAGCCTTAATTTATGCAACTTAATTCTATTTAATTTATGCAATGATTAACACAAAATGCCATCTTCAGATTCTGGCTTCGCTCTAGAATTTTCATTTTGGTACTTCCCTATGAGAAAGCCCATAACGCAATTTGGGCAACGCTTTAATTAATGATGCAAAGCTACATCTTCTGGGAATGCGATCAGAGAGATTGCGCAAACGAAAGTGTAAATGTACAGAGAGCAAAAAGACTCGGAGTGTGGCGTGCTTCTTATCCATTCTAGATCTTCTTCGGTGAGAATAGTCACAGTAATAAGACAGGGGAGAAGAGGAGGTAATGAGAAAAGAAGCCTGTGAGGAATCTGGGCTCTCTTTTCTTCTAAAATGCTTTTCACTCTGACAGAGTTGCATTCTTCCAGGTATGTCTCGGTGGTATTGCGCCGCTCTCCCCGTCTTGCTCTGCATAACAGGACCAATCTGCTGAGTGGATGTATTATCACCACTTTCCCAGAATGCTTTGCTCCTCGTTGGTCTTTCTGAAAAGTTCTCCGTCATACTGAATAGACTGTCTGAGTATAGGGAAGGTTGGAGGTGTTGAGGGCATATTATCTTTCTCTCCTTCTCTCACACACAGTATGTGATGGTCCCGACCCAGCCCTTGATTGATTTAATCGCTCAACGTCTCCTTCTCTTGTTTAGTGCTAATCGAATCTAATTCTTATGCTCTCCTTCTTCATCAAATCCTACTTTACGAGGATGAGGTAAGGCGAGCCGGGAACCCAGATCCGGATATCATTATTATATTAGTATGGCTGAATGTGAAGCCACACTTAATTTGTCTTCCAAGATGAGAGATCTTTAGAGAGGAGTCAATAGCCTTTACCAAGACCTCTTTATTGCGCTGTAGGAGAATCATGCTGATTGATCACAGGGCGTGTCTTCTCTGCTGAAAACTGGAACGGGTTGCAAAAAAGTATTTAGTATCTATCTCTTTTCACATGCTCATATAAAAGGAGGTAAACGTTACTAAAATGGCCATTATATGCATTTTATGTATCAAATACAGACCCATTTTGCAAGGCTTTTTCAGTGTGGACCAGACATGCCATGCAAATTTTTTATTGTAAAGTTAGAAAAACTCTTCGTAGATGCCATTGTAGACTATTGAACAATGCAAATATTCATGAAAACCTCAATGATTATAACTATAAGTGTTTACAGTGGAAAATGTTTGAAATTGTGTTTAAATTGTGTATTTATAAGACAAAGGGTCATTTTATAACAAAAAAAAAAAAACAGAAAAAAATTCTCATCTCTCAGATGGAGGGAGCTTACATGTATGCAGTTGGCAGATGCTTTTTTTCCAAAGTAACTTACATTCGAAAAAAATGAACAATGGAGAGTTGTGATTTGCCTTACTCCATGGGATATTAAATTTGTCAACTTAGGTAAAATAGAACATATATATATATATATATATACAAGCTGAAGCTGTTTCTAGTGTTAAAAGTTTTCAGGTCCTAACTAGTTGCAGTATTTCATTTTTTATTTAAAAAATGTGTTTTTCTTTATAAAGAGTGCAATTTATTTAAAATATCACTCAAATGTGTCACTTTTATTTATTTTATGCAAGAATTCTATTGTGTATTGGCTGCTTTTCAAAATAAAGATTATGTAAGTTCTTATTTTTTTGTACCGAACCGAATTAACCGAACCGAGCTCTCCAAGACACTGTACCGAACCGAATACGATTTTAGCGTACCGTTACACCCCTA